GGTTTGGTGTTAGACAAAAGGAAATAAATGAGATACCTATTTTTGTGAGATGATAATGAAGATACAACAAAATTATACCAAGCCAGAGCTACAGAAGTAGAGAACAAGATGGTTCAACACAAATTACACGAGGCCTGGAAAACAAGAACAAAATGTAATCACTGTAGAAGGCCAAACCCTCAAACATATCAGAAATACCAACAAGAAAGCAAGGAATTCTGATTCCTTAAAGAATTCTGATAAAGAAAGAGATCTAGGGGTGGTTCTAGATAGAAAACTATCTCCTAAGGACCACATAAAGAACGTTGTGCGAGGAGCCTATGCCACACTTTCTAACTTTAGAATTGCTTTTAAATACATGGATGGCGAAATACTAAAGAAATTGTTCACAACTTTTGTTAGGCCAAAGCTAGAATATGCAGCAGTTGTGTGGTGCTCATATCTTAAGAAGCACATCAACAAACTGGAAAAGGTGCAAAGACATGCTACTAAGTGGCTCCCAGAACTGAAGGGCAAGAGCTACGAGGAGAGGTTAGGGGCATTAAATATGCCAAAACTAGAAAACAGAAGAAAAAGAGGTGATATGATCACTACGTACATAATAGTAACAGGAACCAATAAAATCGACAGGGAAGATTTCCGAGACCCGGAACTTCAAGAACAAGAGGTCATAGGTTTAACCTAACTAAACAAAGATGCTGAAGAAATATAAGAAAATTCACTTTTGTAAACAGAGTGGTAGACGGTTGGAACAAGTTAGGTGAGAAGGTGGTGGAGGGCAAGACCGTCAGTAGTTTCAAAAGCGTTATATGACAAAGAGTGCTGGGAAGACGGGACACCACGAGCGTAGCTCTCATCCTGTAATTACACTTAGGTAATTACACACAGATGGTCAGGTGGCGGGAAGACGTACGCTTCACACATTACCAGTCACTACACACAACACTCACACAGATGGTCAGGTGGCGGGGAGACGCACGCTTCACACATTACCAGTCACTACACGCAACACTCACACAGATAGTCAGGTGACGGGGAGATGCACGCTTCACACATTACCAGTCACTACACACAACACTCACACACAGATGGTCAGGTGACGGGGAGATGCACGCTTCACACATTACCAGTCACTACACACAACACTCACAGATGCACACATTACCAGTCACTACACACAACACTCACACACAGATGGTCAGGTGGCGGGGAGACGCACACATTACCAGTCACTACACACAACACTCACACACAGATGGTCAGGTGGCGGGGAGACGCACACATTACCAGTCACTACACACAACACTCACACACAGATGGTCAGGTGGCAGGGAGACCCACACATTACCAGTCACTACACACAACACTCACACACAGATGGTCAGGTGGCAGGGAGACCCACACATTACCAGTCACTACACACAACACTCACACACAGATGGTCAGGTGGCAGGGAGACCCACACATTACCAGTCACTACACACAACACTCACACACAGATGGTCAGGTGGCAGGGAGACCCACACATTACCAGTCACTACACACAACACTCACACACAGATGGTCAGGTGACGGGGAGACCCACACATTACCAGTCACTACACACAACACTCACACACAGATGGTCAGGTGTACCAGTCACTACACACAACACTCACACACAGATGGTCAGGTGGCGGGGAGATGCACACATTACCAGTCACTACACACAACACTCACACACAGATGGTCAGGTGGCAGGGAGACGCACACATTACCAGTCACTACACACAACACTCACACACAGATGGTCAGGTGGCGGGGAGACGCACACATTACCAGTCACTACACACAACACTCACACACAGATGGTCAGGTGGCGGGGAGACGCACACATTACCAGTCACTACACACAACACTCACACACAGATGGTCAGGTGGCAGGGAGACCCACACATTACCAGTCACTACACACAACACTCACACACAGATGGTCAGGTGGCGGGGAGACGCACACATTACCAGTCACTACACACAACACTCACACACAGATGGTCAGGTGGCGGGGAGACGCACACATTACCAGTCACTACACACAACACTCACACACAGATGGTCAGGTGGCAGGGAGACCCACACATTACCAGTCACTACACACAACACTAACACCTTTACCTTACCTCTTCTACAGTCAACAGTCACCCAAAAGCTTCATTATGAAAAATGCTTCTCAAAGTGCCTCACCAGCATAAAATTATAGTTTTCTCTCTCAGTAAAGATATATATATACAGTTGGCAAGAGCAACACATAAATGTTTTACAATTAACAGCATTAATATTGAACTCATACAGTCATATAGCTTCTAAAGAAATTGCAATTAAAAAAAAATATAAATTTACACATAGTGATTTTAGTTTGTGCAATCTGAATGAAATTTTAGTTTGTGCAATCTGAATGAAATGTGCGGAGGAAGTCTATAAGAGGTGTGAACCTTGACTAAACCTTTTCTAACTTGGGTTGACTGACTTACAAAGTTAACACAAACTGTGACAAAGATTAGTCGAGAGAAGACTATAAAAGATCACATTTTACCCAAGAGTTGACTGACAGCTTGAAGATGCCATCACTCAAGGTAATGTCTTCCTGGCCTTAATAACACTTCACTCCTGCATATATTTATGCAAGTGTCAAGTGTATGCAACATGTTACGCAACATGTATTTTCTCATGAACCCGAGTTGCTCTTCCAATCATATTATATACAAATTTGTAGGGATATAATAATTCTTGAGACACATAAGAGCCGTGGTGTTAGCACTAGAGGAAGTGTACACCTCGCCGGGGTGGTATTACAAACATTATGGTAAAGCTCTACTTGATCACCACATGCTTTATACAATAGTCTTCACTTGGGTATCAACACAATTACAATGGAACATACACGATCCATACAATTACCAACAAGGATGCTTAGTCCATTATTTACATCACTTCAAAATAATTATACTGTACTGCATTATTATTTGTAAAGATTTTAAACAAACTAAAATTTATTACACAACTTAATATTCAAAACATTTTAATAGACTAAAACAGATCATTACAAAATTGATAACAAAACCAAGTGATAATTCCATAAATGTCAATAATACAACCAAACGTAAGTGGGAGAGGAGAAGCAGTGTGTGAACCAAGACAGGACCCAACACTGAGAGGGACACCTTCACATACGCCACTAACACACACACATCAACTCTACCAGTGGAGAAGCAGTGTGTGAACCATGACAGGACCCAACACTGAGAGGGACACCTTCACATACGCCACTAACACACACACATCAACTCTACCAGTGGAGAAGCAGTGTGTGAACCAAGACAGGACCCAACACTGAGAGGGACACCTTCACATACGCCACTAACACACACACATCAACTCTACCAGTGGAGTAGCAGTGTGTGAACCATGACGGGAGCCAACACTGAGAGGGACACCTTCACATACGCCACTAACCACACTCACATCAACTCTACCAGTGGAGTAGCAGTGTGTGAACCAAGACAGGAGCCAACACTGAGAGGGACACCTTCACATACGCCACTAACACACACACATCAACTCTACCAGTGGAGTAGCAGTGTGTGAACCATGACAGGACCCAACACTGAGAGGGACACCTTCACATACGCCACTAACACACACACATCAACTCTACCAGTGGAGTAGCAGTGTGTGAACCAAGACAGGAGCCAACACTGAGAGGGACACCTTCACATACGCCACTAACCACACTCACATCAACTCTACCAGTGGAGTAGCAGTGTGTGAACCAAGACAGGACCCAACACTGAGAGGGACACCTTCACATACGCCACTAACACACACACATCAACTCTACCAGTGGAGTAGCAGTGTGTGAACCAAGACGGGACCCAACACTGAGAGGGACACCTTCACATACGCCACTAACACACTCACATCAACTCTACCAGTGGAGTAGCAGTGTGTGAACCAAGACGGGACCCAACACTGAGAGGGACACCTTCACATACGCCACTAACACACACACATCAACTCTACCAGTGGAGTAGCAGTGTGTGAACCAAGACGGGACCCAACACTGAGAGGGACACCTTCACATACGCCACTAACACACTCACATCAACTCTACCAGTGGAGTAGCAGTGTGTGAACCAAGACAGGACCCAACACTGAGAGGGACACCTTCACATACGCCACTAACACACTCACATCAACTCTACCAGTGGAGTAGCAGTGTGTGAACCAAGACAGGACCCAACACTGAGAGGGACACCTTCACATACGCCACTAACACACACAAATCAACTCTACCAGTGGAGTAGCAGTGTGTGAACCAAGACAGGACCCAACACTGAGAGGGACACCTTCACATACGCCACTAACCACACTCACATCAACTCTACCAGTGGAGTAGCAGTGTGTGAACCAAGACGGGACCCAACACTGAGAGGGACACCTTCACATACGCCACTAACACACTCACATCAACTCTACCAACTCTCCGCCACTCGCCCCAAGCGCGTGCTTCCAGGATGGCAACGACTCGGCTCAATTGGTATTATGAAGCGGGAAGCAATTTAGCAAACATACTCAAACAAATTCACATCAATACGGCTAATCGAGGCTATAAGAATAGTTGAGAACAGTGCACATCCAAGAGTAAGAATTTATATTTATTTCATCATTAAATAAGAGAATAATTATGGAACTCTCTTGTTAGTCAATGCACGAAGGAATTCATAAAGACTGCATATACCTCTACACTTACGTATAATAAATGCACTAGTTGTGATACCTCACAATTTGCTATTCAAAGATTATTACAATATTGGCCAATATGGCACAAATGTCTTAACATATTGACAGAAAATAAGGTTCAGAACTGTAATGGAGCCCAGGGAAAATATATATACTCAAGCTTTTTGTGCTCCTTTAAACAACTTAACATCAAAACAAATAAAGAAGTAAAACTCACCCACCTTCTTCCAATTCGCCCTCTAGAATGGGAAAATTCCAATAATTACAACCCTGGAATTATCATCTATCTTATAAAACTATGTCTACCTACTTTGCTTTCAATAATCACTGCCCACCCATTGGTACATTTGATAATATATATAATTATGAATGTATGTATGTATGTATGTATGTATGTATGTATGTATGTATGTACATATGTATGTATGTATGTATGTACTGTATGTATGTACTGTATGTCTAACCTTTCAGACATAACCATCCTACCTGGCCTAGTAAACAAAGGCACACTAAGTCTGAATAAGTTTGTTTTCCTTCTTGGTTACAACTTCAGGATTGTTTCTTAGAAATACAGCATTACAATACAGTACTAGACATTTAAACCATTACTTCAGTTATTATTGAATGTGTCAAATGTGACTAAGTTAGACAGTGCTGAAGAATAAATGGCATATTTAGGAGAGGTAAGGTTTCTAAATTAGTTTGGGTTGATAATATAGAAAATGCACATTGTGTGTGTTGAACCGAATGTATCTATCACATACGACAAAATTTGTAAAAATTAATAAAAAAATCAGCTTATTTGGCCACTGTGCTCGATAGGCACAACAAATAAATGAACTAAATAGTGATACAGGTGCGTCTCCAAAACCTGGGTTACATTATATTGTTCTGGACCCAATCAAGATTAATGTGAAATCCAGATGACGAGAAATTTGCCCTTTTGGCTATTGCAAAGTTTTCTATGTATTATATGTCAAATTCCACACGAATATGAACCATAGAATTTTATTTTAAATATGCATAATACCTTTGCCAAGATACTAAGTATTTCCCCTCATATTACATTAACAATAACAGTTAATGTTAACATTACCATTAACAGATCATATTGAGTGGGTGTGATAATGTACAGTGTGTGAACACCACTCATAATGCCACAAGACCACACACACAATGACAGCAATAGTGGGGTCAAGTGAGGCGTGGGATTTTCAACTGTGTCAAACACAGTGCAGAGACTGACGGTCAATCAAATAAGATTAAGACTAAGTGCAGTGAAAAGCTCAGTACCTCAGGACACAGTCCTTGCACAGCATCCCCGGTCAACTCAACCACTACTAAGGCAGCTGTGTCACTTGCTGCTCCTCTTCACCACGGCCATAGTTGAAATGACACGTCTCCTGGATTTAGTGACCAGGACTCTGATACTAGTGGCTATGATGTGGCTGGTGGCAGCGAGTTTCATTGTGTTACTAGGCAGTGCTGATTCAGCACCTCACCCTGCCAAATGAAACTGTGATGTCTAATGGGGAAAATCAGGAAACATTGGCCTCTACTTCAAATGTATGTGCCTGCCCTGTGTATATTACAAGAGCTTTGTCTCCAAGCCAACATAGTTTTGATGAAGATGTGACTCATGCTGATGGTGGTGGTGGTGGGAGCTTAAGCAAGCCGGGTGTATTCCTGTTGGAGGTTTATGCCGACTTTGTTCCACAAATGTGAACACTTGACGATACAGATGCAAGTGGTACTGACATTTTCCCTTATACTGGCCAAGATATGAGTAAAAGTGACTATTTTATAGCATATCTTTAGCAGTTACTAGTGACATATTGTTCATAAAACAAATACACATCAAAACTCATTGAAAAAAAGGGCACAACATTTTTTCTTCCAAGGGAATAGATTACCAGCCATCTTAGAATGTGTGATGGAGAGAGCACATCGCCATTTTGAAACCTTCACTAGTGCAGTGTGTGCAACGAGTCTAACTTCTTTATTACTAAAATAAACCCTTCCTCGTTTCTGGTGACGGCTCTCATCTGAATTCCAAAGGTACTTGCATTCAGGAATTACAGCACGGTGTACTATACAGTACAGCTTCACACTCCAGGGAATGAAATATACAGTTTTAGTGTTTTGTGGTACTTTTTGGAGAGTTGCAGTTGGGAGGGTCAAGACCCTCAACGGTTATGTGGCAGAGAGGCCTTCCCTACTGTCATATTCATCGCACCATCCTGAGGGATTTGTCCCATTGGTCAAGGCAGCAGTGCCTATCATGAAATTGGCTAGTTTCAGAGAACACAGAAGTACAGAGGGAAGAAAGCCTGCAGCCAGCCAGCCTATGCTTCCCTCTGCATTCTGTTCAGTCGCTATGCCTGTCAAGACTTGGTTCCTTACGCCGTTCAGCCAAACAGCCAAGGATTCCGTTATCACGACAATATTATTTAATCTCGTCTGACGATCAAATTTCTTCTTGCGCGCCCATCTGTCAGAACCCGGGTCTGTGCCTTTTGCAAATTGATAGCAAGACGAGTGATAAAACATAAGATAAAGATTGTGCTCCCATGCACTCACCCACAGAGTGAAACACACTGCCAGGTGATCATCTGTGGTTATCGTCGTCATTATCAGTAGTCATCCATCAGCCTATTACTGTGAGTCATCTAAGAGGGTAAAGCAAGCGTTTCCAGTTGTTGCTGTTATTTCTCTGAGTGAGAACTGTACTGCAGCCCTTTCTGGGGACTTAAAAGTGTTTTAACACCATTGCTGTGCCGTGCATCACGTGTTTCCCACCCAGTGTGTTCACACATTGGTTACCACCCTGTGTTTACCTGTCACCACTGCCCACCTAAGTAATTACCTAAGTTTAGTTACAGGATGAGAGCTACGCTCGTGGTGTCCCGTCTTTCCAGAACTCTTTGTCATATAACGTTTTGAAATTACTGACTGTTTAGGCCTTCACCACCTTCTCACTTAACTTGTTCCAACCGTCTACCACTATTTACAAGTGAATTATATTATATTTCTCTGGTTGCTTTGTTTCGTTAGTTTAAATCTATGACCTTTTGTTCTTGAAGTTCCAGGTCTCAGGAATTCTGCCTTATCAATTTTATCAATTCCTGTTACTATTTTGTATGTAGTGATCATATCACCTTTTTCTTCTGTCTTCTAGTTTTGGCATATTTAATGCCTCTAACCTCTCCTCGTAGCTCTTGTCCTTCAGTTCTGGGAGCCACTTAGTAGCATGTCTTTGCACCTTTTTAAGTTTGTTAATGTGCTTAAGATATGGGCACCACACAACCGCTGCATATTCTAGCTTTGGCCTAACAAAAGTCGTGAACAATTTCTTTAGCATTTCTCCATCCATGTATTTAAAAGCAATTCTGAAGTTAGAAAGTGTAGCATAGGCTCCTCGCACAGTGTTTTTAATGTGGTCCTCAGGTGACAGTTTAACTAGAACCACCCCTAGATCTCTTTCTTTATCAAAATTCTTTAAAGATTTCTCACATAATTTATAGGTTGTGTGGGGTCTATGTTCTCCAATTCCATATTCCGTAACATGACATTTATTCACATTAAATTCCATTTGCCAAGTGGTGCTCCATATATTTATTTTGTCCAGGTCCTCTTGAAGGGCATGACAATCATCTAAGTTTCTTATCTTCCCTATTATCTTAGCATCATCAGCAAACATGTTCATATAATTCTGTATTCCATCTGGTAGATCATTTATGTAGACAATGAACATCACCGGTGCAAGAACTGAACCCTGTGGTACTCCACTTGTGACATTTCTCCAGTCCGATACATTGCCTCTGATCACTGCCCTCATTTTTCTATCAGTCAGTAAATTTTTCATGTTAGAAGCTTACCAGTCACCCCTCCAATATTTTCCAGTTTCCAGAACAACCTCTTATGTGGAACTTTGTCAAAAAAGCTTTTCTAGTTCCAGATAGAAGCAGTCAACCCAACCATCTCTTTCCTGTAACATCTCTGTGGGTTGATCATAGAAAGTGAGTAAATTTGTTACACAGGATCTTCCAGATCGAAAACCATACCGACGATCTGATATTATATAGTTTCTCTAAAGGTAATCTACCCATTTAGTTTTAATTATTTTTTCCTATATTTTGACTATTACAATTGTTAATAATACAGGTCTATAATTGAGAGGGGTCTTCTCTGCTGCCACTTTTATAAACTGGAACTATCCTAGTCTTTTTCCACACATCTGCTACGACTCCTGTACACAGGGATGCCGGAAAAATCAGTGGAAGTGGAATGCTGAGCTAGGGTGCACATTCTCTCAGAACCCATGGCAAAACTCCATCTGGACCAACTGCTTTGTTCTTATTTAGCTCCTTGAGCATTTTTTCCACTTTGTCTCTAGACACCTCAATGTGCTCTATGTTGTTCTGGTTCCCTGAAGATTTCATTTTGTACAAACACACTTTGGAATTTTTCATTTAATGTTTCACACATTTCCTTTTCATTTTCTGTGACTCTGTTTCCCATTTTCAACCACTGGATATTATCCTTTACCTGCAATTTGTTGTTTATGAATTTATAGAATAGACCTGGTTCTGTTTTACATTTGTCTGCAATCCCTTTTTCAAAATTTCTTTCTGCTGCTCTCTCCTCACTGCCGTGTAGTTGTTTCTCGCATCATTGTATCGCTGGTATGTTTGGGGGTTCGGCCTCTTCCTGTATTGATTCCATTTCTGTGTCTTTTGGTCTCTGGCCCTCTCGCACTTTCTGTTGAACCAATCCTGTTTCTTAGTTTTGCATCTCTGCTTTTGTATAATTTTTATTGTGCCTTTATTATATATTTCACAGAACTTGACCTACTTCTCCTTTACTTCCTTGCCTAGCAACAAGTCTGTCCAATTATACTCATTAAAAAAAATTCTAAGGTCCCCATAATGTCCTCTCCTAAAGTCAGGTTTTTCAAGTTCTTCAACCTCCTTATTTGCTTTCAGATTATAACACATTGCATACTTTATTCCTAAAAAGACATGGTCACTTTTACCCAAGGGAGGAAGGTAGTGAATGTCAAATATTTCTTCCTCCTTCCTGGTAAATATCAAATCTAGCATGGAGGGAACATTCCCTTCCCTCATCCTCGTAGCTTGTTTAACATGTTAAAATATTAATGTTTCCAGGATGTGGTCAATGAACCTACAGGTCCAAAAGTCCTCTGTTTTAGCTTCATATGCTTCCCAGTCAATGGATT